GCTTTTGCTTAGAGTTTGAGAGATCCTGCTTGTTGCTTTCTTTTTTTATAGCCCAAGGGGTATCGCAGTAATTATTGCAAGTATCTAACACTTGACTAAAGAATTTTTTTTTTTTTTTTTTTTTTTTTTTTTTTGTAGATATACATACATACATGTATCGAACTGTTAAGAACAGTTAACGATGTCCCGAAATACCGTCAAAACTGTACTTAACATACAGACATATATATGTACGTAATAATTAAATTTATACATTTTGAAATATATATCAAATTAATATATGGAACGGACTCACATTATTTTACGCCAGGGATTTTGGGTTATTTTACTTATCCCTTTTTTCGTCCCTGTTTGTTCCTCTATTAATTTTATAAATGTTTTATTTATTTATTTATTTATTTATTTAACCAGAGTAAATACATACAATACAAAAAGTAATCCAGCAGAGGAGACATAGCTTCCTGTTCGCTGGTCCGGTACAAAATAACTTAAGTACTAAGAAACGAACGATAGCAGACTTAGTGGTCCCACCTCCCCCCAGCAGTGCTAATAGATGAGGTAGGCACCAGGAAGTCTGCTATGACCTAAGAACTATCTTAAACCTAAGACCTATGTGTATGTATGTATTTACGTCCAGCGCTGTCCCTTTTGATTTTAGGTTTTTAGTTTGTTAAACTTTGTTGTGTTTTCACTGACTGTACAATTTCTGTTTCTTTTCTGTATCTTTTTCCTTCACTTCAGGTCACTTTAATTTTTTCTTGTGTGTTCAACTTGTTTGATCTTTCCGCGTCTTTTTTTTTCTTTGTACTTAGGTGCCTTTCGGAAAGGCTCGAATAGTAGTATAGTATACTTACTCGATATAGTATACTTATGCCAAATAAAAAGCACTTTCTATAGCACGATAAATATTGAATACAGAATATTTATTAAGTTTATTTCACCAACTGAATGTATGTATTTTTTTTTATTTGTATAACAATTTTATTTAGTTTGCGCGCACGTTGTGTCAAAAATCATTTATTTTCGATTTTTCTAATTTTTTTTTTCAATATCACGCATTTTGATAAACAACATTTATTTGATTTATTCGTTTCTATTCCGGTGCGTAACTGTACAGAGAAGATGGTTTTCCTACTCGGGAATACGCCACGTATAACTGGTTCTCACTCAAGCAATCGTAGTTAAGATAATTTGGGCAATGTTGGCATAAACATTCGTGATGAGTTCATATTTCGTTGAAGTGAATTGACAAAAGGCAGGTGAAACTGGTATCAAACCACTGGAACCGAAATTTTCCTATTTCCAATTCTTATCGAATATGATGTAAAATGTTTTCGGCCATGTATTTTTGGTCGTATTCCATAATTGCTGGCATGCTTCTCAAAAAGTTTCACACACTCTACCATTCACAGTACGCAATGACTCAAATGAAATTGAACTACGTACATTTATCAATAGCAACCGAAGGTATAAGCAATCGTCGTTTCTCGGGTGGATTATGTATGTATGCATGGATGTCAAAATACTGGTTSGCCCTGCTTTCTGCGTAACTATTTCTTCGACGATGCAACGGATATCTTACGCAAGTTGAGAAATATCAATTACTCTACTGTATTCTCTGGGTCATTCTCCAAATGAACTGCGAGACGCACAACAGTCGGAAAACGTTCATGAATTGCAGAAGTAAAATCCCTACAGAGTGCTTTACTGCAGTTCACTTATCGACCATTTGACACTTGATGATCTCATCTCGTTCAAGACCAATATCCGCCATGTTGCTTTCTTTGGTGACGTTTTTGCAAACGTATTTGATCGATTTTACCAAGCTACAATATCAAACATTGACATGAGTTTTTTTATGTGAATTAGACAACAGTGGAGAATATGGTACGATCCATATGTTGTCAACTTCGTTATTCACACCTCTAAGTGGATATTGCTTCGTGCATTTATTGCTAGACATACAAAAAAGTGGGATTGTAGTGTCCGCAAGGTCCATGAACCATATTGGTTTTCATTACTTCGTATAATACTGGATAATGATTTCATCAATTTGATCTTGTGTAACCACCATCTACTATCCAAAGAAGAATGTGTGAGTGCGGCAAAACTCTTTTTTGCAACTCAACAGAGAATATCCCGCATCTGACTGCGCCATATATACAAACGTTGCTTTAAGAGAAAGTCTTTGAAAAGTCGTGCTGTGACATCGTAACGATCGCTTGCTGATTGACCACGATTCATAATTCAGCATGTACATATGTAAGACATCGGATCATGGGAGTACTCGTTCATGTGTACCATACCTTGATGGCAAAAAGAACGCTGACCGATATTAGCGCGACCTCTTCGTGGCTTCGTAACAAATTTCAATGTGTAATTGATCACTACGTCATAAACACACATAAACTTTTCACTGAACAATTTTCAATAATTTTTCTTTTAAAGAGGAATATAAAAACAATCGACCGAAATTGAACGGTTCAAATAATTTACAAATAAAAATATTGAAGAACAAAAGAAAGAAATGTCACTTTTGGGAAATTTCCAATTTTTCGACTATGAAAAGTTTAAGTTTTTTATTTCTAAACYCTTCCAGATCTACAGCGAACAATTTCTGAAAATTTCGTGAAGATTGGTTCAGCCATTCTCGAGCTTTAGCGTTACTAAAAAACAAACATTCATTTTTACTTATATACAAAAGAAAACGTTTGTATGGGAAAAAGAAAAGAGATGTTTTTAGGGAGTTTTCGGCAATCGAAATTCCTCGCCGTAAAAACCATCTATGAACATCAAAGAATATTTAAAAAATGAATTGTTAAAGTGGTCCAGGCGTTGTTGAGTTATGCGCTTAGCAACACATTTTGCGATTCATTTTTATATTATAGACGCAACTTTCGTAATTTTTTCTTACATAAGAACATTCTCCTTATAACAAAAATACAACAACAACAAAAAATTGTGAAATCGGTCCAGCCATTCACGAGTGATGTCGTGAGCAAGGGAGAAAGGGATTCATAGTAGTATAGATAATAATAATATAGATAACATTATTATCTAACTAATGCTAATACAATAAAAACCACTTAAACTACTTACAATAACTAACCATAAACTTAAATAATACTACGTCTTAATACTAACCCTAATTTGCTTATATCTATTGTGACTTAAACTAACATAACGCTTAATAACTAAAACTTTATGAATGTGCATACTTGCAAATGTACTACAACTACTACAAGATGTATTCCGAAGTAAACAGAATTTTTTGTTATCAACCGAAATAATCATTGAAATTCATGGAAATGGAATTAAACATCTCCAAAACATCGATTTATCGCATTTTGACCGAACATTTGAGCTTACGAAAGGTGTGTACGCGGTTTGTTCTGATGCTTGTGACCAATTATTTTACAAAAAATCATATTTTAACCATTAACCACTGCATGCATTTGCCATGAAAGGAAAGCGTTATGCAGATGTAGAGGCCATTCAAAAGGTTTGCACCGGCATACTGGCGGCCATACCGGCCAACGAGCTAAAACACTTGTTCGACATGCTTTTGGACCGTGCAAAATGCTGTATTGTTCTGTTTT